CTCCTTGGTCCCAGTTGCATCATATGGATATAAAGGTTGAGATAGAAAAAGAAAATGCATGTAATGTCTTGTACTTTGTAATTTTCCCAGATTAATGAGAGCCCTAAGAATATTATTAGATGCATGGTTATGATGTTATAATATTGATTTCTAGATCTCTGATGCTACTTATTAGTATATTTGTGTTCTATTTTTTTTTTTTTTAGTTTAACATTTCTGGAGTGGATATGGAACCTTCGACCTTTCAAATGGTAATAGATATCTCGTTGAGCTATGATCTGGATTCAACGTTTATTCGTGATACCTTAGTGGCCATTTATTTTTCATGTTAAAGACGATGAAGTAATAGTAACTTATTTAGATGATGTTATTGAGATGTTTTGAAAATGTATAGATGTTATTATATTTAGTTCATGTTTGTCTAGTTAATGATTCTATCTCAAAAAAAGAAAAAATAAAAAAGAAAGAACTAATTTTAGAAGTACTACTGTTTATGTTTGGTTTATATGTATATGAAATGAGGTAGATTTTATTTTATTATTTTTTTTGTGTGTATATATTTATATAAATGCTTTTTTCTTTCTGAAAACTTTAACACGTATGTCATTCTAAGACAATTTGATTGAGAAATACAAATACAGTAAAAGTGAATAATATTTTGTTGATTTACAATTTTAATCTTTGGACTTTAGGTGGGTGTCTCGAGGGTAAGTTATGTTTTCTGTTTTTTGTTTCTTGTTTTATAATAAATAAAAAAATAAAAATATTTTTTAATTGTTTTTAATTTTTTGTTCTTCTTTGTTATTATTAAAAAAAATAGAAATATGTTTTAGTAATTAATTTTTGTTTCTTGTTTTTTAAAAATTTTAAATTTAAAAAAAAATTCTATGAAAATTAAAATTTTAAATTAAATATTCAAATTTTGTATGTTATATTTATCTTTTAATATATAAGTCAATAATGATAAAAATAATGTTTTTATTTCTGTTTGGGAAAAAACTGGAAATGGAAATCAGAAACAAAAATTTATTTTTGTTCTTTTCAAAAGTTCTACATAATTTTGGAAGCGTTTCTTCTTATGTTTCTAGAAAACTTGAAACAATAAGCAAGAAACACAAATTCAAAAAATTATTAGGCAAAATATTAAAATTTTAGGGATCTATCAAATTCTTTAAAAAATTTAAAGATTTAGACACAAATTTAAGAATTAAGCGACTAAACTTGTAATTTAACTAGAAATGCACCTTAACACAAAACCAAGTTTTTTTTTTGTTTTGGTTTCGTATTTTTTAGTTAATTGAAATGACACAAATAGATGATAAAGTTACCATTTAATCATTTCCTATAAGAGTCATCATTTTTAGCCTTAAAAAATCCTCTTTGATCTTTAACAGAAAAGAGTTGGCATTCGTTGGGTCAAAACTTAAGTGGTTATTGCCAAACTCATGATAGAATTAAAGTAAAATTCGGTGTATTAAAAAAATGAAATAATTTTAAATGAAATAGTTCGTGAATTTTTTTAGAAAAATGACTCAGTTTTGAGTTTTTCTCTCTTTCTTCCTTAAAAAAAATATAGGATGATGATTCAAACATTGATCTTTTTTGGCTAAAATATATGTCTTTAACTATTGAATTATACTTAGATTGGCAAGTTTGGAATAATTTATGTAATCAATTCACTAACTTTTATTGTTTACCATTTTAATTTAGAATGTGAAAAAAGTAAATAAATAAATGTTCAAATTTGAAATATCATTGTTTTTAGCAGCAATGAATAGGAATATATATGTGGTTTGATTTCATAATTTTTTTTTTAATGATATGCGTTGAACAACTTAAAATAAAAATAAATAAATTTGTTGTAAAATTTTGCAAAATTGAAAGAAAAAAATATCACCTCCTCTATATTTCTAGATTTTAGCTAAATTTAGGTATTTTAAAATTTGTAAAAACACTTGAAAGTACATAAAAAATATTTATTTTGATATTTTTTTCTAGAAAAATTATATAAAAAATATTTCATTTTAAAATACTATACATAATTATAAGATTAAATATACAAAAGTATTATAAAACAAAGTGAATGTAAAAAATTGTTGACCTCAACATAACTTTAATTGATTATGATTTTAATATCACTTATAGATCATAAACTAAATATGTTTTCCTAAAGTTTGATTGTTTTTCTATTTTAGTCTGTCAGTATAGTTTCAATTTAATCTCTCGTGTTATAACATTTTTCAATTATATCAATTTTTTTTTTAATGTTAAAATTAGTTAGCGATAAACCTACTTGTCATGATAACTAAATAGTTGCGGAAATCTAAATGAAAGAGAAAATTTTCTATTTTTCTCCTCTAAAATTTTGAAATTTTTAAAAATTATTAAAATTTCAATTTTTCTTCTCTCAAATAGTTTAATTATATTCTCCAAATCTCTACCAACTCATCAAGGATGAGTTTAAAATACATTTTAGTTTAAACATTTTTTTTTTAATAATTATCTCTAATGCCAAAACTACAAAAGTGTCATCACTTATATTTTTTTGGATAATCATCTCTCAACTATTTCTTATAAAAAGGCTTAAACCAATATGATTCTTTTAAAATTGATTTGAAATATATATGCATACATATAATCATCTAAAATTAAAAGTTGTCCTAAACGTACTCTAAATGAATGATTTTTCCAAATGCTTATAAGAAAAATATTTTTACTGACAAAAGTTTGTTTTTCAAAAGTTTCCAAACAAAGATTTGTTTCAGGTAAATCTATTATAAATTACTTTTAATATACATCAACTGGTATAGTATAATTGAAATTTTTTGTATAAACTTTTAAACGATAGGGGCTAAATTAAAAAACATTAGAGACTAAAAACATATATTTAATTTGAGTAAGAAGTTTGATTCCCAAAAATTTCGAGTGTCAAATTCTCCCAATTTATGACTTATCAACTTACAACAATTGAGAGAAAACATAGTATGTCATGATGATCAGCCACTGCCACTAGATCATTATCAAATCGACTGCATAATCTTTTTCTATTCGTGAGGATCCATCACAACATATCGTCTACTACTTCTAATATATATCAATATACACAATAACAAGAAATGCACTTTTACTTATTCCACCCTCCTTTTGATATTTCATTCTTATTTAGTTAAATTTCATTATCATAATTAATCGTTCTTTTTGTAAGCATGAACATAGTTATGTTTAAATAGTTTATCTAGTTAAGACATTTATGTTTGACTAAAAAGTCGTGTGTTCCAATCTCCGTCCGAACTCTTCTACTTAAAAAAGGGAAAAAAAATTAATCACTCTCCTCTCTCTCCTCTCTCTCTAGAAACTTAATTGCAATGAGTGAGTGGTTGAGTAATGCAAAAGTTATGGTGTTTTTGGCCAAATCAGCCCACCATTCATTGCTAGTGGAGAGCATTTTACACTTGGACTTGCCTTGTGAAAAGTGCTTCCTTGGATCACCCATCACTTCTCTCTCTCCTCTGGATCACCATTTATGCTCTCTCTTGGATCACTCAAGCTTTTTGAAATTGAAAATCTCTCTCTAGAAATTGAATGCATGGACTTTTTTGAAAGATGGGTTAAATTGGGAATTGAAGTTGAAGTTGTAGTTTGTGGGGTATTGAGTGCAAAGTGGGCAATGTTGACAATAATGTCATCTATTGGGTGATGCCCCAATGAGCATTTTACATAAAGTCAACACCCTTTTTTTTCTAAGTCCTTTGAAGTGAAAATTTTAGGGATTTTTGGTTAAGTTCTCATCTTTACCAAAACTATTGGAAAGCTACCCACTTCATATCTCACAACTCCCCACTTACCCAAGAAAAATAAAATCAAGTTGAAAGTGAGAGAAAACAACTCCCTTTATATCTCACAACTCCCCACTTACCCAAGAAAAATAAAATCAAGTTGAAAGTGAGAGAAAACAACTCCCTTTAGTAGTGCTGTTCAACTTAAGTGCATTTTCATTTGTCTCATAGAATATTCGTCTAATCCTACGATATTTAGTTGCTAGACAACTCGTAGGACTTTGATACTTCAAGTAAAGTAATTTTTTATTTGATGATAGTCAAATAGCATGAATATAGCTTAGCGATTAAGATATATGTTTCTTTCCTTGAGATCTGAAATTTCAAATCTCTACTCCTATATTTCCATTCATAGTTGAGATTTTTGTTAAAATACAAATGAGAATGAGAAGAATTGAGTCTGAGTCTCAAAAATTATGGATGATCCAATTTATTACCCTCTTACAATTTTTGCTAATCTAAAGTTAGATCTAGAGGAGAGGCTTAGTGTTGTTAATACATCTCATAGTCATATTTATTCATAATTCAAGTACTCGATAATCAGCCAAAAGCCTCTCCTTCCCTCTCTATACCAAAACTACAATGGAACACTTCCCTTCTCACTTGTCCTTCAACAAATGTACAAAGTTTGAAAAACCTCCTTGATGATATCAAGAGTTTCTCAATGGCTCTTCCAAACACTCGTTCGGATTTGAGTAGAAATAATCTTCTTCCTTCGGTCTATCTTGAATGACTACTCGTTTCTTCGAGCTCCCGTTACGGTCGGAGTGAGCTTCCTTCAAAGCAAAAGAGAACTCGTCCCACCCCAACGATCCGTTGTTGTACTGATCTATTAAGCTAACCACCAACTTTCTGTCTAGAAGAATGGTCTTTTTGAACCCCAAGAATCTGAAAAAGATTTTAGGCCAAACATGAATGATCCTTGTGATCGTTCGAGAAAAAACACTCCATCTGATTGTTGTTTGTTTATCCTTCTTGTTTATGAGAATAGCTTTCAAATAAATTTACCAGATATGTCAATAACAATGGGAGTTGGGGCTTACCGACGATGTCCTTCGACAACTTTTGCCATGTTCCCGTCATAGGTAGGAACGAAAATGTCACTCTCTAATGAGACGAGATAATCCAGTGCAGCCATCTGCGACGAATGATTCTGGAAGAACCGCAAGTCAGACGGTTTCAGAAGCGTCTCTTTTCTGACCTGTGGGCAGAAGATAGCATAAACTTTCATGGCATATCCAATTCAAGCATAGTTTACACAATTCAACTCCCAGTTTCATCAACTGACCAGATTAGGGAAAGCAGCTGCCAAACTTTCCATCCTTCTTTCTCCCCCATATATTTCTCCGGAAGCAATGTATATTTGAACTTTACGATCAATCCCAAGAGCGCTTAGAACTAGCGAAGTTTCCTCGGGAGTCAATGGGCAGAAACCTTCCTTCCTTTTCAGTTCAGAATCAATAACTTTCTCCTTCCACCATGGATAAGCATATCTAAACAACGATCACACAGAAGTTAAGCAAAAGTAATCTAGAGTACACAAGACAAATGTCGATTTAGAGTGACAAAAAATGGCAATACCTCATTCTAGTGAGTTCGTCGACTTCGTCGTTATTGCAACCATGGGTGCAACCAGAGAAGGCTAGCATATCCATTTCATATCTAAGATGAAGAACCAAGAAGGGACCTTTATCTCTCAGCATTTGAACAACCTTTCTTCCCAGCTCCTCAATTGAGGAAGTAAATCTCAGGGCATTAAAATTTACCCGGCATCGCAACTTCTGAACCTCCAGCGGGAGTCCATTATTGGCAAGTCGAGCATCGGTTTTATTAAAATGTACAACTTTATACTTTTGGACCAATGGAAGAATCTGCAGATAGACAGAACAAGATATCAATCGGTCATGTAAAAGAAGTCTAAACTCAGACAGGCAGACAGAAAAAGCTCCAAGAATCTCTCTTGTCAAGAACCCAAACCTGATTAAGGTAATATGATACATTCGACCAACTAACAGGCGACAATGAGTAGACCACTCTCGACTCAAATCTTCGTTCAAGCCTCGGGGGAAGTTTTCTCAATATCCGAACCTCATCTCTCAACGACAATATGAAATGATCAACATCGAAAATGTCTTCAAAATCGCTGACAAGAAACAAGATGCAAACTTAGAAGCTGCTAAAACTAATTAAAGGGTGATTTGAATGAACTAAGAGATAGAATGAATTTCCCACAAACACACCTGGGATCAGCCCAAAAGGATGTTTTATCCAAATTCGGAACAATGAGAGTAAGATTCAAGTGTCTGGCAATGGCTACCATATCACAGATCTACAACAATCTCAGTGTTCACACTAATCAGGAAACAGAGAAAACATAGAAGCAGCAATTCTTAGTGTTTATGATTTGCAACAAGAAAGAAAGTAACTCACCGCTGCTCTCATTTGGTTGAGTCCTCCATTACAAGAGACCATAAGGTAGCCATTGTTCTTGTAAACCCCTGAGAAGAACAGCCACCAAATTTGTAAGGAACAGAGTTAATAATCTTTACATTGAGAAGTAAAGAAACTTGGAGCTTACTTTTTGGTGGGAGAAAAACTTTGTAGGGAGGAGGAGAAGAAGAAGAAAAAGAAGAAGATTGAAGAGCCATGGGAGAACAGGGTTTGAAGAGCTCTGGCCGCCATAGCTCCCCCAAAGCCATGAGCTGAACAAAACAAGTCCACAGAAGAATTGTTGTAATGGCCCTCGTCATCCACAGCTTCACTCTCGACCTCGAAACTGGAATCGAGTTCTTCAATTTTTCAACCTTCTCTTCATCGCCAAATCTGAACCCTAATTCCCAATCATGACCGTAATTGCTCCTTTGGTCAGATTCCTTCATTTTGCACATTGTGTATCGAAAACCCCCAAAATTTATCTCCCCTTCTCAAATGGCTTGAAATTACAGAATTGAAAACTCGAAAAAGAAGAAGACAATCGCTATTTTAACCGCAGAAACTTCACTGAAAAATCGACTTCATCCCGAAAATGGGGAGGAACCCAGAAGCTAATTAACACAATCGACTGCATTTCCTCGCTCAAAACTCTCCAAGATTGTGGAATGAAGCCAAATTCAGCAGAAGTTTCATAGTGTGAAAGAAGTTGTGGGTTTCAGAGTGGCCGGAGAAAGCTCCGGCGAGTGGAAATGGCGGAGGAAGAGTATAAATAGGAGAAGGAGAGATAAAAAGCCATAAATCAAGTCGGAGCCGTTGCTTTTGGAATGGGTGAGAGAGGAGCTGTGGAAATTCTGATGCTTTGAAATGTTTTTGATGCCATTGACAAAGTGACAACCTTTTTCTCCCTTTTTGTTTTTGTTGGGTGGAATAATTTTTGTTGTTGTAATTTTTCAAATTTGTTCATGTATTAACAAGTTAAAAAAAAAAAAATTTACTATTATTTTACTATTATTATTTTTTTGAGTTTATGAAAACCTGAATTCAAATTTCTGGATGTCAATAATTTCACGATATGGATTTCTCCAGTGAATTATGACATTTTTATTATACTCCAATAATTTCACGATATAGATTTCCCCAATGAATTATGATATTTTTATTATACTCCAAAACAATCGACAAAACTTTATAAAATATCACCGATCATTACAATAATTTTGATAATAAAATTTTTTAACTTATTTAAATGATGTGAAACAGTGAAAGGCTTATTTATTAATTTAAATATTTATCATGACTTTTTTTTTTCAAGTTTATGTATTTTTCTAGGAATATCTATCAACTGACATCTTATCAATATTTTCAACGAAATTGAAACCTCACCATTTCGCCAAACTTGATATTTAAAATCTTGGGCGTAAGAAATAACTTTGATTAGCAATTTTTGTTATAATTGAAAATTTTAAAATATTATAGAAAGATTTGAAATTGAGTATATAGATTAGGGGTAAAATTAAAAGTTTGATACTTTTAACATGTAAAATAAAATCCAATTAAATGATATAAAACTCCTTTATTTGATTTGCAGATTATCGTAAAAATTGATATTAATTTTACATCTAGATAAAATTCATAGAAACCAATATCGTTCTCTAAAAAGAATAATAATAATTTGATCATGTAAAAATATAATCAAATAAAAATGTCATCCATTATTTTAATCTTTTTTTGGTAAAAAGACCATGTTAAAATTAGAATTAAAATTGAATATACAAAACATACCTAAGAACTATTTTGGAATTTTAAGACATTCTCAAGATACTAAGTCCTACAAAATAGACCAAACAAATATGACTATAAAAAATAAAAGAAGCTATATTAATAGATATTTAAAATTTCAGACATGTAAGATGCAGGAACAAATGATCTTTTAAAAGAGGTTATAATTAAATTTTAAAACTTCAGAATTGTTACAATTTAACCCAATTTTCTTTTTCAATTTCATAGAATTTAAAACTATTATGTTAGTCATAAAAGAAGATTTAGTTTTCTAAAAAAAAATGAAGTTTGATGTAAAATTTTGCCACCGATTATAACAAATTTTTATAGGCGAAGGATCTATAATCACAATATTTATACTTTTAAAAGTGGTGTACGACACTTTATAAATTTAAGGAGAGATCCATTCGAGAGTATGATTATAATAATTCAATAGTTTAGGTGGTTTTTTTTGTAATTTTCCAATTATTTTTTTAAAATTGGAATAAAAAAAATATAATATAATTTGAAATCAGAAGACTAATTTCTTATGCCATTAGATCCTTCAAAATCTTTTGTTCCCATTCTCAATAGATCTTTAGAGAGAGATGTTTTGTCAAATGTCATTAAGAGGAGGAGAGAGAAACTAATAGAAAAATGAGTGACGTGGATGGTTATTGGTTGACCACAGTCTAAGAATAATTATTTTAAAAATTGATGTTAATGAAAATGACAAGATTTTAATTTTATGGACATATGATGAAAAACAAAAGTCATAAAAATTATTTTAATTACTATATAAATATTTTATATTTATTGAATAAGTTATTATTAGTTCTTATGTTTTGATTTTTTCTTTTAATGTATTGAGAACATGAAAAGAATATCACTTTGTTTAGAATAATAATGAAGGTTAGAAATTCACTTTTAACTCACAAAAGGAGATATCTCCGAATTGATAATTTAACCTAATTTATTAAGAAAAACAAACACAAAAAGGTATTTATTCATTGACTTAAGGCGTAATATTTTTGTTAATTATATTTATTTATTTTTTCAAAAGGTTTATTAATTAGATTTAAAATCACCTGTAATAAAATCAAAGTTTGATCTCATCACGGATTCATATTTATATTAAAAAATTACTTTAAAAAATATTTTAATGCAAAATTTAGGAATTAAGTAAAATTTTGATTAAATTACAAAGTAGGATCCTTTAGCGTCGAATAGATTTCTAAACTTTGAATTAATTTGTCAAATACGTCCATTAATTTTAAAAAGTATTTAATAAATTTGACCTATTAGTCACCTTTTAAAAATATGTATATTTATTAGTCACATAATTGAATGACCTATAAGACAATTTTTTGTTTTTTCAAGTTCATGGATCTATTAGACACAATTAATAATTTAGGGTCTGTTTGGTAACGTTATTTATTGCTTCTCGTTTTCTTTTTTCTTTTCAATCCAAAACTGCATTTTGGTCACTCGTTTGATAACGTTTCCATTTCTTGTTTATTGATTATCATTTCTAGTTATATTATAAATATAAGCTTTCGGTAAACTATTCATTTTTTCGTTTCTCGTTGGTAAGAAACATTTCCAAAATTTGTAGACATTTGAGAAACAACACAATAAAAATGTCTGGATAAAAGTATTGTTTATTCTTCATAACTTATAAAATGCATAATAAATATAACATAAAAATTTTGAATATTTAACTTAAAAATAAAATTTACTTAAAAGTTAACTTTTTAAATTTAAAATTTTAGAGAAACAGTCACATAGCAAAAGAACAAACAGTTAGTTATCAAATGTAACTCTATTTCTATTTATTAAAAAAGAAGAAATGACAAATATATATACACACATGTATAAACATTACCGAAGGAGTCCTCCCGTGGGAGATAATCAAATAAACAATATGTATATTTATTTTATTGAGAAGTGATTGGACTTTGGAAGCATGCGAAGAAGACAAGAGTACAGGGGAGTTGAATGGCAGCCACCCGTGATTCATTTTTATTTTTATTTTTATTTTTGCTATCTCTCTGACTCTCACTAAAACCATGTGAAAATTGTGACATCTCCAAAATCTTAATCAAAAACAACTTTCTCCCTCAAATTACTCCATTCCATTTAATTTTAGTTTGATCTCTATGATTTTAAATATTTTTCATTGTCCTTATTGGTCTATTTATTTTTTTATTTTGATTACGTATTTTGGAAATGTCATTTTTGTCATTACACTCTCAAAATTTTTTTATTATATTTTTCACAACTTAGAATTGAAGCTATTTAGTTTCTTTTCCTGAGGTGATACCAATTAGACTTCATGTTTTTGTCTATGGGACTGCTCTAAGAACCTCTAAGCATTTATTTTGATCCGTGTACATTTAAAAAGTGATAAATTTTGTCCCAATTTACAAAATTTTATACACAATAGAAACACTTTAATACAAATTTATGACTACATTTCAAAAAATTTAGTAATTGAAGTGTAATGCTAAAATTGTGAAAATGGAAAAATATGAGAACTAAAATAGTATTTTAAATCAATAATTCTTTTTTTTTTCTTTAATACAACATGTGGGGTAGGGGTTCGAACTCACCACCTATCGATTGAAGATATATGTCAATTACTCTTGAATTATGCTCGTTTTAGCAATAAATAATAATTCATTATTAAGTTATGAAATTAATTGCTAGAAAGGAATCTCAAACACAATTTTATAGTTAATAATGCCATCCCATGGAAGATACAATGAAATCCCCAATCTCCATGTAGATTCTACAATATGTTGATGCCCATCATTTTTCCATTATTATTCTCAATTATGTGCACAACTACGAAGCTCAATCATATTCTCTTCTTTTTCCATATGGTGGTCAAAACTCTTCCTTAAAAAATAAATTAGGTTAAATTAATAGTTTCATAAATTAACTTCTAATAAACTTTTAAACCTTTAAACTGTAAAATAAACCTCATAAATTTATGAGCTTTAATTGCTGTGACGGATAAGTCCCTATATTTATAATTTGAGATCGAATAAGTTTTCAAATTTTCAATTTTAACAGAAGGACTATTGAAAGTTTAGAAACTCAATAGATGCTTATTAAAGTTCAAGATACTTATTAGATATAATTATCAAAACTTTAATACCAAACTTGTAAATAAAAAAAAAAGCAAATTATGTTTATTTGGACTAAATTGAAATTTATATTAAATACATTAAGAAAGGGCTAATTAAACTTTATATATGGGTTGTTTTCTTAGCATGGGGGATAATTAAAGGGGAAGATGCAAATTTAGAACAACTAGTTAGCACTCACCTGCCTTCTAGTATTTTTTAATTTTTGAAAATAATTGTAAACCAATTATTCAATCAAACTTAAAACGGTTAAATCTCATTTNTATTTTGGTCTCTAGATGATGTCGATGTTGTTTCTTGAACTTTTAAGTTTATTCTTTTTGATCCCTAAAATGTCTGTGTCCTCGAACTTTCAAATAATAACAGTTCAGTTCTCTCAAACAGCGTTTTAAAATTGAAAAATTAAATACTTTTCAATTTTTAAATGATTATCAACCACTTTGCATGTTTTTTGAGATGTAGACGTGGGATAAAATAATATTTTTTACATGTAAAAAATATGATTTTTTAAAATAAAAACTAGGAAAAGGAACAATACAAAACGTACAAGGAAAATTTCTCCTCTATAACACTAATTTAATTTATTTTAAAGGATAGAAATTTGTTTATACAAGGAATCTCAACATAATAAATAAATAAAAACTAAAAAAGATTAAGTTTAAATTTAAATGAATTTAAAAAGGGACAAAATAGAAAGAGAAAAATTCTTTCTGGTAGTCTAAAATATCACCAAAATAAAACCAAATTGAGATAATATATTCGCAGACAACCAAAGCAGAGCTTAACAGGTTAAGAGACCTGTTTGCAATAAAAAGAAGTCACGAGTTTTAATTTTCATCCCCACATATTATACTCTAAAAATTAAAATATTTATAAATATAGCAAATATTGGAACACATGTATATAAGCAAGAAGGCAAGATATATAAATGGTTCGTAACTACAATTAATCAATCAATAAATATATCAATGTTTTAACATGTATATAAGTAAGAATGCAAGATATATAAATGGTTGGTAATTACAATTAGTCAATCAATAAACATATCAATGTTTTAATATATTTATATATATAAATAACATTCAGCGATTTATTTTTTTAATATGTTTGAACTTTGAACACAAAAGTTCCTGGGTTAATAACGAACTCGAATCCAGTAAAACCTACAAAAGTAGGAATAAGAATTTCGACGCTCAAGTTAATTGTGACCCAGTTAATCTTCTCCCAAATATACCTTCTCTATCCGGAACAGTGGTGAGTGGAAAGTTAAGTGGTTGTTTGAGATTCTTCTTCCATGGGCAACCTTTGTTTGGCATGGAAGTGGATCTCCCGAACACTTCCCAATTTCTGTTCAGACCTTTTTCGAACTACTGGGGCACGAGAGCTTGGACTATATACTTAGCCCTTGGAGTGACACGTGGAATATCATTTTTCATCCCATGATAAATAAGTTTGAGCCTTAAACCTCTTAAATGGTTATAGTTAATCAATGTATATTATATTGTTTAAAAAAATGTATATTATAGGTATATAATTAATTGCTATTCTATCTACATGATATATGCTTTAACTAGTTGAATTATATTTAGGTTTTTTTTTTCTTTGAAGGAAGAGTTATATTTCAGTTGACAAATATATTTACAATGTAATATAATTTTAAAAGATAAATACTATAATATTTATTAGAAAAGTTATAAAAATAAAAATTTTTGAAAAAGATTTAAATTAACAAATAATAATTTCACCATTTCTAATAAGTTAAAAAATGATAACATTAATATTATATCTATATTATTGAAAATTTGTCGATATTTTTCATATTTCATCGACTTTTTCTGGTAATATTATGAAAATGTCAATTTATCCCTCATGTCGATATTGAACTCCATGGATACATGGACGTGTTGACGGATATTTAATACCATACTTATAATTACCTTTTATTTAAAATATTTTTCAAAGTTATAGAAAATTTGTGGAGTGAAAATTAGAATGTTCGACCTTAGAATCGGAGACCGTAAAGCCCAGTAGGTGGCTCGGCCCACACATTAGAGGTGTTAAAAAACCGGTGAAAACCTTGAACCGGTCAGACCGATTATTTTGTAGGAAAACCGAATTTTTTTCGTTTCGATTCGATTTTATAAAAAGAGATTAAAATTAAAAGCAAATCGAACCGAACCGACCAAAACTATATATGGACAAGCAAAAAACCCTAGCTCCTCCTTTTCTTCTCTTCGATTCGATTCTTCGACTCACGCCGGTGCGTGCTCGGCAGCAGCAAATCGGCTTAATCGCTCCATCTCCGGCGTGCCTCTGAGGATAATCTCTCAATTTCCGACTCTTTCTATCCCTCTGAGGAACAATTTCTCGCTGCTGGATATTTGTTCGGGTTCCTTAATCTTCAAATCCGAGGCTCTGAGTTCGCTTTCTGATTCAGTGTGGCAGTGGCTGGACTTGGGTCTTCATTAGCCCAACGCTCTACTCAGTCCTCCTGCAGCTGCCGAAGTGTTTTTGAGGTGAAACAGAAGAATGAGGCAGCTAAAATTTCACGAGCAGAAGCTGTTGAAGAAGGTTAACTTCTTGGAATGGAAGAGAGAAGGAGGTCACAGAGAAGCCCAGGTCATGCAGCGGTATCACGTCACTGGACGGGACGATTACAAAAAGTAACTTTCCATTTCTTGTAATTCCTTTCTTTTTTACCATTTTCTTCCTTTTGGTGCTTTGAGAAACAAATTTGATTTGAGTTGATTTAGGTATTCGAGCTTGTGCCGGAGGGTTCAGAAGCTGGTTAGCATGTTGAAGAAGATGAACGAGAAGGACCCTTTTCGATTGGAGTTGACTGAGAAGCTTCTTGAAAAGCTGTGAGTTTTTCCTTCTTCTCCAGAGAAATTTTTCTATATTACATTATGTTAATTTCATATCTATATATGCAATATAGGATTTTTTTTTTTCCTTGTGTGCTTTTGGCCAGTTGTTTTATTTTCTTGTTAATTTCAAAGATGCAATGAAATCTTCTACTGCTGGTTCAAATTATCTAGTTTTGTGTTTCCATGAATATTGTCAAGAAAGTTATGTTGTGAGCATAATGTGAAGACTGCTTATTTTGATCACTGCTAACATCTCTTCTATTTATGGTATGTGTTTTTGTCTAATTTGAAATGAGAAGCTTATTTTCTCCTAGCCTAGAGGCTCTAACAATTCAAGAGCCAGTTATGAGATCGAGATGTTGCATTTGAGATAAAAAAGTATATATCCAATAAAAAGGATATTAAAAAGGGTAAAATAACTGTGAGTCAATTCCAAAATTGTGTCCCATTTGATTGGCAGAACCTAATTGGTTTAAAGTTTCTGTTTCGGAGCTGGAGGATGCTAGTTAGTTTAACGTACCTATCTTGGATTTGAATTTCCCAGCTCCAATTTACGCTGTAAAAACAGGTCCACATTTTTTTTGCATTTATGCTAAATTCCTGAGAAAGAGCTTGAACCAATTTCCGAAGATCATGTTTCTCTTATTGCTTGATATTCTCAGGGTCTCTAGATTGAAAAGGTCTACTTTCTGAATACTTATAGGCAGTGACTTAGTGTTCTCCATTTTACTCCTACACATTCCATTTTCAAGGAACTACCAACGTCCTTCCATGAATTATCTATGTACCAGTACTGTATATTTTTCTAATGATTAAGCCATTTTAAATTTAGTATCTTTTGGCTCAGTTGGCTCAGTTTTTTAAGAGCCTCAATATTTTTTCAAATTGTCCAAGATTCTGAATCACCAATGGCACAAGAAACTATCAACATTCCTCATGAGTTATCAGTTATCTACACTATATTTTTTTAATGCTGAAGCTATTTCAAACTTGTTTATATTTCCTTTGCTCAATGTTTCAAGAACCAAACTTTTTTTTTGAAATTTTCTGAGACCTGAATGGATGATAGCACATCAATCTGGCTATACTGAAGTCAATTATATATGCAGATTATATGTAATCATTTCAACAATAATTTGCTACTTGATGTATTTTATTGCTTACATTTGCTCCCCTGCTTTCCTCCTGAAAAAAAATATGACAGGTACAATATTGGTGTGATACCGACCCGACAAAGCTTGAATTTATGTGACCGCTTGTCAGTGTCATCCTTTTGCAGGTAAAATGAACAGCCTGCAGCAAAGAGTTCATTTCTGGTTCGCAATGTTACGTATTTTCTTTTGCTAATAAACAATGCCAGTGGCAGACAGTTGTTAACACTGTTATTGCTTTTGCTGCATATCATTTTCATTTCAAGCCTGTTTTCCCCTTTCTATTTGCAGACGGAGGCTATCGACGGTGTTGGTACGTTTGAAGTTTGCGGAGCACCTGAGGGAAGCTGTTACATACATCGAGCAAGGGCACATCAGAGTAGGTCCAGAGACAGTTACTGACCCAGCATTCCTAGTTACAAGAAATATGGAGGACTTCATAACATGGGTTGATTCATCAAAGATAAAGAGAAAGGTTCTACAATACAATGATAAGCTTGATGATTATGATGCCATGAACTGCTGAGATGAGTATTGTCCAGTTTTTGTTCCTTTTTACCTCAACCTCTTGTACGGATGTTTTCTCATCTCAGCCTCGTTCATACCTTCTGGTTCGGCATACAGGTTAAATTGCTATTCTAGATTATCTTAGCCCTTTTGGTTAAATTACGCTTTTAGTTCCTATGTTTGTTAGTAACTTAGCATAAGATATATGATGTAACCAATGGTTTTATGATATGATATGATAGGGTATTGTTTTTAAGGTTAAAGAACATTACTTTCAATGAAGTAATGATTGTGTTCCTGAACTTTAGTTTATAATGATTTAGTTTATGTACTTTCAAATTGATACAATAATTTAGTCTCTAAATTTTAGTATATAATAATTTAATCCATGTAGTTTAAAGTTTGTAAAGAACTAAAAGATTTAGCCTCTATCGGGAAAATTTTGATGAGTTTCTTATATATGTAGTTTAAGACAAAAAAACTATATATATTCTCATCATTCTTTTATCGTTAATTGTTTAATAAATGAAGTTCGTTACTTTGATGTGCTAACGTGAAACCTACAAGAGTTGGTTGAGACGATTATTGATTGAGCTAACAGTGGGTGATAAAATAGGGTTTAGGTCTCATAGGTAAACCTCTCTGGCGCTTTTGAGAAAACTAGCGATATTGGTATCAGTAGTTTTACGTGTGTGCTAGGTATATGTATGTAGATAAATATATATTTGTATAATTGATTTGGCTTCAATTTTTCTCTTAGCATATATGGTATTAAACTTCAATTTTACCTATAAGGTTAAAAGGTATAACTTGTAAAGAAAATTATAACTTGTAAAGAAAATTGCTAATGGAAGGTCAATTTTGTAGTAAGTTAAAATATTTAGGGTAAAATTGACACTACTAAAACAAAATAATAAATAAAGAAAATTTATTGAACTAGCTACATTGTTCCAAACTCGAATAAGTTTTGGAAATTTGGTATAATTTAGGGTTTAAAATAACATATTTTTAGAAAAGAGTACCATCTAGATAATTTAGTTTAAGATGGAGATCTAATCTTATCTGTCACCCTCCATTTCATATACATATTTTTATTGCTATTATAATACTAAAATGAAAACACTTGTTTGCAAAAAAATTGAAAATACATCTTTTCAAATAATGAAAGAAAAAGAAAATAAAAAAAAAACATCGAATAAGCTCTTGAAATTTAAAAAGTGTCCAATGATGTTCAAATTTTCAAATTTGTATTCTAATAAGTTTCTTCCCTTTCAATTTTATGTTTAATAGATTCCTAACCTCATTGAAAACAAAATTTTAAGTTAAAAAATTTGTTAGATATTTTTGAAAGTTTAAAGATCCAGTAGACATAAAATTTAAAATTTAGCTACTTATTAACGAATTTAAAAATATATTAGACATAACTTTAAAAGTTTAAGGTGGACCTGTTTGATAAAGTGAAAAAATATGTCTAGATAAATATTTCACATATTAATCAAAATAGGTCTCTCTTTCACATTCAATTCATGGACTTCAGAAAACATCTTGGGAAATGAAGTATTGTATTTTAGAAAGGAATTCATCGACATCGGATTTTGTGTAAGGTGTTGTGAGCATAGCAAATAGTAGGGATTTGTAGCATGCCTTCATTGAATATTTACCTTCTATTTATAGACGGAAGATCCTAAGGCCATTAGGATAGTTATAGGATATATACTCTTGAAGGGGAAGATATCCTCTCCTTAAATATCGAGCGACACATTGACACGTAGATAAGTTTGTTTTTTTACTACTATCGATCACACGTCGATCATGAATTGCATTTTTTTATAATAATTTTTATTTTTACTTTATTTTTACCTACTCATTTTCAAATTTAAATTCACACCATTTTCAAATTTAATTCTAAAACACTCGTCAATTTAATTTCTTTTACCAATCAAATTTACAAAATTTTCAAAATTATTTTTCATGTTTGGCAAAAATCATATTTGTCATTGTTAAAATCACTTCCCCTCACTTGATCATGTTTAAAAAATAAAAAAATTGAATTTAAGAAAGTATAAATCACTTTAAATATTTTTAAGGTATCACTTCAACAGTAATTTAAGAAATCTTTTTTTTTTAAATCACTCATTCTATCATCTTTCTTAAACACGCCCTTGAGCTACACATCTTTAAGCTACAATTAAAGTCTATTTAGTAATTCAAACAATTTTCATCAATTTCTACCACTTCTATGATTTTTTTTTCGAAATTTTCATTAATATTTTCGTAAAATCGGAATCTCAACATTTTTATCAACATCAACATTTTGAACCTTGCGCTCTGATTACTTTAAGATTTATCTTGAAACTCGTAACAACTATCACAAAACTATTTCAATGATTAAATAATTATCTTTTGGAACATAATTAAGTCATATATAACTATGTTAATGATAGAGGTTTGAGAGGTAATAATTCTCCTATGGTTTTGATTTTGTGATCAATATTTGGTTAACTCTGAAAGTATATGTGTCATTTTTATTAGTTATTTTGTACCTAAAAAGATATAAAAGGGCATGCTCTATTTAGTGTCATATTTAATTTGTGTCATGTTGATTCGAACACGAAACTAAATTCATCTCTTTATCTTGTTCCAGCTCTTTTAGTTGGTATCACATGTAATATATAGCTATGCATAGTTATACGTCAATATGAACATAGTTCAATAATTTAACACATCTTGTACTTAAAAAAACGGTTTAACATATCTTGCACCTTCTTTAGAGGTCGAATATTTAATCTTTTATCTCTACATTTCTTGTGGCGGATAACTACCTAACTACTTTCTTATGTGGTTTATTCCTAATACTCACACACTCGCCGCCAAATTCTATTTATGGCTGGTCAACCCATCTTAATATCATTCCCCATATAATATGATATTGGACATAATATACTATCTTATATGAAAGATAAATGTTATAATGTATAGATGAATATAAAAAATTTTATAATTGATTGTTAGTTTTTTTTGCTAAGCTAAAAGAGTAAACTTTTAATTAACCAAAAAATGCATGTGAGCTATACTGGAAAGTCTATCTCCCAACAATCTTTTCTATCCATTGAGGTGTCGAATCTGAATTCTAAATCCTAGTTAAAAGAATTTATCTCTCTTTTAAGATCTAAAAAATCCTTCAATTCCTCTTAGATCTCTCTTCAATTGAAAATAATAAATTTTTTTAGTTCAACAAATGTAAATGTGAGGTTGGAAATATTTGAACCTTCAACCTCGTAGGAATACAAAGTTGAGATCGAGAATATGCGAGAATATACAAGAATATGGAGTCACGCTATTTGAACTTTTAATTATAATGACTTTATTGGTAGAACTAGGATTAGATTTCAAATCTAAAGCTTTTATTTCTAATCCAAATTTAAGTAATATTAGCAAAGTTTAATATTCCACTAAATTTATTTTCACATATACTACACCATCACACATCAACCTCGCTACAATTATAATTTATACCCATAAGAAGGAAAATAACAAAAAAAAAAAGTAACAATTTTTAATCATAATCATAATGGAAAAATCATCCTTCATGGGCTCTGTAATTTGCTCGTTGAAGAAGTT